CACATTGTTAATTAGATCGTATTCCATCACTATCACAAAGAGCAAGACTGGTCAGATGCTGTGACCTGGTGTGCACAAGTTTTCCTAGTCGTTTGAAAGGTCAAGGAAAATTTGCCCTTAGACCCAGTATGTGAATGATTCATGATGAAAGTGGGCGACTGGATGATTATGTGTCTATTTTGCATATTAACAGTTTATAGATCCTTATTTGATGACTAACGGTGAGCAGATGAATTAGGACCATCATGGAGCATGCACTGTAGTGACAGACTCCTTTTCTAAGTCCGTTTTTACTAGCTTCGTCAGGTGTGCTAGTGTTTTTGGTAATGACAGTATCATGAAGAGTTAAGAACGGAATCTTAGAAGCCTTCCTGTGTTTTAAGTATATGTTTAAATATATTAAAAACTCTCAAGAGGCCAGCAGGTGGCACAGTGGTTAAGGTACTGGATTCCCACATCACCTACTTCTGTTCAAGTCAGACCCGGCAGCTTGAAAATCATGTCAGGTGCGTGTGCATGTGTGCCCCAAATCCCAAGAGGAGAATGGAGGACAAGGGATTGCAGCGTGGCCATCTTCCCTTGGAGTTGATTTCACACTTTTTCTCTCATTATCTGTCTCTGGCGAGTGCACACACCCTATGGCAAAAACAAACAAACAAAAAACCCCTCCTAAATATTATGAAAGAGAGAAGCAAAAAATGGAACAAAACTGTGTTTTCTGTGCCCAGATTAATATGTTCTTATACATATTATAGCTTATTCTTACTTGTGGTCCTGAGACAACTAAGTGGATAAAACTAATAATGATGAGGAGAAGTAAAGAAAAACCCTAAATTTGGAGAGTCTTTGCCTCAAGCCACATACACAAATAAAGCACCAATATGCTAAAAATTACAGGTAAAATACAAACATATTTTCAAAAAGCTAAGAGAAATTGTGGGTAAGTATTTAGTCTTGAGATAAGAAAAGACTAGTTTCTAAGCTAAGCGGTAATGGAAGAAATTGAAAAGGACAAAACTATCTTCAGGCTCAATTATATAAAAATATAAAAAATTACTGGAAAAAATATTTGCAACAAATATGATAGACAAAAGGGGAGAAGGGCGTGTTCGCACACTGTTGGTGGGAGTGTAAATTGGTGCAATCTTTTCTGGAGAGCAGTGCGGTAATAAGTACCAAGAATCTCCAAGTTCCTCTCCTTTGACTCAATCATTTCTCTTCCAGGAGTCTAGCCTTCGAAAATTGCCAGGAATTTGGAAAAATGTATATACAAAGCTAGCCACCTTAGGTTTATTTCAAAAATAGCCCCAAATGGAAATAATCTAAATGTCTACTACTAGGAAAAAATTTAAATTGGGTTTTAAAAATAAGTTCCCAATCCTTAATCACATTGTTAATTAGATCGTATTCCATCACTATCACAAAGAGCAAGACTGGTCAGATGCTGTGACCTGGTGTGCACGAGTTTTCCTAGTCGTTTGAAAGGTCAAGGAAAATTTGTCCTTAGACCCAGTATGTGAATGATTCATGATGAAAGTGGGCGACTGGATGATTATGTGTCTATTTTGCATATTAACAGTTTATAGATCCTTATTTGATGACTAACGGTGAGCAGATGAATTAGGACCATCATGGAGCATGCACTGTAGTGACAGACTCCTTTTCTAAGTCCGTTTTTACTAGCTTCGTCAGGTGTGCTAGTGTTTTTGGTAATGACAGTATCATGAAGAGTTAAGAACGGAATCTTAGAAGCCTTCCTGTGTTTTAAGTATATGTTTAAATATATTAAAAACTCTCAAGAGGCCAGCAGGTGGCACAGTGGTTAAGGTACTGGATTCCCACATCACCTACTTCTGTTCAAGTCAGACCCGGCAGCTTGAAAATCATGTCAGGTGCGTGTGCATGTGTGCCCCAAATCCCAAGAGGAGAATGGAGGACAAGGGATTGCAGCGTGGCCATCTTCCCTTGGAGTTGATTTCACACTTTTTCTCTCATTATCTGTCTCTGGCGAGTGCACACACCCTATGGCAAAAACAAACAAACAAAAAACCCCTCCTAAATATTATGAAAGAGAGAAGCAAAAAATGGAACAAAACTGTGTTTTCTGTGCCCAGATTAATATGTTCTTATACATATTATAGCTTATTCTTACTTGTGGTCCTGAGACAACTAAGTGGATAAAACTAATAATGATGAGGAGAAGTAAAGAAAAACCCTAAATTTGGAGAGTCTTTGCCTCAAGCCACATACACAAATAAAGCACCAATATGCTAAAAATTACAGGTAAAATACAAACATATTTTCAAAAAGCTAAGAGAAATTGTGGGTAAGTATTTAGTCTTGAGATAAGAAAAGACTAGTTTCTAAGCTAAGCGGTAATGGAAGAAATTGAAAAGGACAAAACTATCTTCAGGCTCAATTATATAAAAATATAAAAAATTACTGGAAAAAATATTTGCAACAAATATGATAGACAAAAGGGGAGAAGGGCGTGTTCGCACACTGTTGGTGGGAGTGTAAATTGGTGCAATCTTTTCTGGAGAGCAGTGCGGTAATAAGTACCAAGAATCTCCAAGTTCCTCTCCTTTGACTCAATCATTTCTCTTCCAGGAGTCTAGCCTTCGAAAATTGCCAGGAATTTGGAAAAATGTATATACAAAGCTAGCCACCTTAGGTTTATTTCAAAAATAGCCCCAAATGGAAATAATCTAAATGTCTACTACTAGGAAAAAATTTAAATTGGGTTTTAAAAATAAGTTCCTTGTTCATGATCACAAGCAAACATAGATATAACTAAATCATAGGATTTCTGTAATTAGCAGTAACCTTTCCTTTAAATTTCAGGTTCGTTTTGCTTTAGTTAGGAAAGTTAAAATATTGTTTTTTTCTTCTTCATGCTCAAAATATGAGTTAAATACTAACTGAAGAATAAGTGGAATTGCTGGGCCATCTTCCAGCCTTTCTATTGTACTGTGTTAAAAAATGTTAATTAAAAAATCCTATAGGTCATTAATAGCATATAGTAGGAGGTGTGGCCTAGGCCTGAGAGACTTTAAAAGTTATTACTAAGAATCTAAGCAAGAGATTAGTTTGCATTAGAATTAAAATGTAGAAATAACAAGTGACTTTTTTTTTTTTTTAAGTTTACTGTAGGGCACATGCGCTCTCTGGAGAGAAAGAGAAAGTGAGATAATCACCCCCATCCTCCATTATGGGAGATGACAATGCCACAATCTCTTTTCCATTCTCCTCTCAGGATTTTGGGCATGCATGCACATGCGCCTGGTGTGTTTTTCAAGTCTCCAGGTCTGGGAATTGAACTGCGCAGTTGGCCATTTGAGATCCGGCTGCCTCGACCTCCATGTCATCTGCTGGTCTTAGCAAGTGACTTTTTAGAATACAACTAAATTCCCTTAGAATACAATTCTTCCATGAGAGACAAAGACAGGGAGGGAGGGAAGGAAGGACCCCCAATAGGGTCCTTATACCAGGATCCATCCCAAGCCTCAGTCAGCTGGGATCACAGGCACATGTACACATGGTCAGTGTTTACAGCACCCCTCGAGACATGAATCCTCCTTCCTATGTGGTTTCAGTATCATGGAGCATTGCATCATTTCTGCACCACTGTGAATGGCCATAAGTGACGTTTTAAAACAATTTTAATCGGGACCAGGAGTTAACATAATGGCTATGTCACTGGACTCCCATGTAGTCAACCACAGTTCAAGTCCCAGATCCGGCGGCTTAAACTCTCGCCGGGCACATGTGCATGCATGCCCAAGATCCCAAGAGGAGGATGGAGGAGAAGGGATTGCGGCGTGGTCATCCCCCCTGGAGGGTGATTTCTCGCTTTCTGTCTCTCTCTCTCTTTCTGGTGAGCGCACATGCCCTATAGCAAAAACCTCTCCCCCACAAAAAAAAAAAAACAATTTTAATCAGGCTTAACTCTGGGGTTACAGAGGGGGGAAAGACACTGTCATTACACTTTACTTCACTTTGCACCTATGACTAAGGCTACCAGTGTGATTCTTATTACGCAACTATACTCATTCATATACCATATTGTCCTTACCTCCCTAGCCTACAGGTCACTACTTTGTCTCCTGGATCAATAAGCCCTCTTCTCCATAAGTACACCCCTTCATCTCCATGTTGTTTCTGAGTATCTCAGCTCCTGGGATTCCATGGCACAGGGATCAACAAGTTATCTCTTATTTCATCTGGAATGTATCATACAAGAGACAGGACCTAGGAGAACACTGAAGAAGCATTGGATGCCACCTAATTCTTATTGGCTATTTTTTGTATGATAATGCTCTAGAATGGAGGAGCCACTGCTAACCCAGCACTTAATACCTGCTTCTATGAGATCTCCCAATAATCCATGCAGTTAATAATTTTTCTCTCCAGCTTACCTTATTTGCCATCTTTTCTTGTGTTGTTGATGCTCTTAAAGCAGGTTTTGGGGAAAAGAATTAGATTGTTTTCTTCCATGATGTCATAATTAACTCCGCTTTAAAAAGAAACTGTATGACTTTGCTAAAGAATAAGAGACATAGTTTGTCTCCCAGAATTACGTAAGCCAGAGTTTTTCAACCGAAACTGCATTACATGTTGGGCTGCCAAACTGTGTTACAGGGGGTCTTCCTTGCATTGTGGCACTGTTAGCAGCACCTGGCCTCTGCCCACCTGATGCACTAGCACACCTCCTCCTAACTTTTGACAATCAAAACTGTCACCAGACATTGCCAAACATCCTTTGTGGGGCAAAAATGCTTCTATCAAGAACCATTGGTATAAACATAAAACTTGACAAACTTAATGTGTTTTTGTTTATTCTTTGAAGTGGTGGAAGATAATTGTCATCATGAAGAGGGTATTATCATATCTGATATTTCATCTTGTGAATATGTTTGGCCTTTTCACATATTGATCCCATGATAATATGCTTTTGACAATTGCAAATATAAAATATCATTTTTCTTTTTTTTAAATAGTATGCAAGCATCGAAAAAAATGGTGAATTTTTTATGTCTCCCGATGACTTTGTCACTCGATATTTGAACATTTTTGGAGCGAGCCAGCCTAATCCAAAGACTGTGGAACTTTTAAGTGGTGTGGTGGATCAGACCAAAGATGGGTATGTGCATTTTTAATTATCTTATTTAGTTTTTTCATCTGAGATAGCTTTCTTTTGCTTTAATGATCCAGAAGTCACTGGCTGTTTGCCTTCTCATCTCTGTCTATTGCTATTAATACATTATTTTAGAAATAATACCCTTAACATTTCCTTCAGTAGTCATTTCACACTTGGGGATTTTATATATATATATATATACACACACACATATATAATCTTTTAGTAATTTAAAGAACTCTTTACAGAGTCACAGAATTACTGTAATTGATTAAATTGCGTGAAGATATATGAGAGTCTTGCATATTGATATTCTTTAAGGCAACTGTAAAATTGTGAATAAATGTAAAACATATTCTGACTATAGCTCTTTTATAATCTTTCCCTCTGCTCAAATTTTTTAAAAAATCTCACATAACTTAATAGTATGAATCTAGCAGAAAGAATACTAGGATGTCAAATTCCTAAGAAAGATGTTCTGCAAAAACTGGAAGAGGCCTGACCATATAGAATTAAATAGGATGCTTCACATCATGCCTATGGGTGTTTTCCCCCTATACTCTTCTCTGCTTATGGTTAAAAAAATGGGTCTTCCTTTAAGCTGTGTAAGTCTGCAGTTGGCTTTTACCAGTGAGCACAGAATTTGGAGCTCCAAATTCTTGCTAATGCAAACCCCAGTGTCTGCTAATAACTGAAGAATAATGCATGAGAACTATCCTTCTCTGTGTAAAACGCAGGAAACCCGGTCCTCTGCCTCTGCTGCTTGCCAGCACCCCTCTTGGCAAGTTGCAGTTACCTGCTATTCTAGGGCAGAGTGCTCTCGCTCGGAGCTGGCCTCCATTTATTGGAATCTTTACATGTCTGATTATTCCATATGCGGTTGTTTGAGATATTTGTAAAATTCCTTGATGCACTGGGAATGCTCTCAGTTTTCAGCATCACTTCCCTTTTCTTACTTATGCATCCATCATCACCTTGTTCATGGAAATAACCTATAACTGGAGGCCTCGAAGATTGGGAGGGAACTGAAAGGAATGAGAAGTTACTCTGCTTCTGCAGTGTGCTGGAGGACTGCGGAGCCTTCTTTCTTTGTTTCAGTGACAGAGGGTTTTATTTTTGTTCGGTTGATTCATTGTTTTTTTTTTTTGTTTGTTTGTTTGTTTTTAATTCTGTACCTGTGTTTTCTATCTATATGCCAAGGTGGATTCTTTTAGGAGAATGGAATATATGAGAAGGCCTTTGTTTCATCACAGAGATTGTCTGGGGTAGTCCAAGGAGAGGCTGAGATGTATCCCATCAGTCCACTGGAGCCAGAGTTTTGTAGACATATGTATGTTCTAATGAACATTTTTTCCCTGTGGAAAATTTGATTGTTTCCTCTTCCCTACAACAGCTTGTGGCTCAGAGAAAGTATGATCAGACTCATGTGCAGCATGGATTATCTAACTCAATGTTTAGGATCAGTTTTTTGTTTTTTTTTTAATTATTTTTCTTTCTTTTTTGCATGAATGAGAGAAACACTGTAGGAGAGAGAGACAGCACAGGGTCTTAATGCCATGATCCACCTCCAGCCTCAGCCAGCCCTCAGTCATGGGCACACACAAGGAGACCTCTGGACAGGAACTTGGAGCCTTTCCATATGGGTCAGCTTCAAGAGATCATGTTTTATTACTGTACCACCACGTGGCCCCTAGTATTTTTTCTAACTTGAAAAATTTTGAACTACAGGAAGAAATTTTTGAATGGCAGAAAAGTCAAAAGAAGAATATAGTGAACACAAATCTTTACCCTTTACATAGATTGACTAATTGTTAACATTTTTACCACCTTGGTGCTCTGTTTTTGCATATATATATATTTTTTTTAGTCCATTTTATTTATCTATTCCATAAGTGATTAAGACAGAGTGAGACAGAGACAGAGACAAAGACACAAGACTCCTCATAAGATCTTGACACACAAGCCACCCTAAGCTTCAGCCAGCCCAAACCATGGGCACACATATGCTCAACATACTCAGACAGGTCTCCAGGTGCAAATGGCAACCTTACCAGGGAGGTCTGTCTCACAGACTATCATGTTTTGCCTCCAAGGCACCATCCTGCCTCTACATACCTATTTTCTACACACAACACATGCACACACATAATAACTGACTCAATTTTTTGTTTGTTTCTTGTTGATCCACATGACCTACTCACAGTTTTTGTAGTTGTGTTTCTTTACTCTAGAACAGACTCTTGCCATTAATTGTTTTTCATAATATGGACTTTTTTTTTTTTCTTGACAGAGGGTGCATGCACTCACTGGAGAGAAACAGAGGGAAAATGAGAAAGCACCCCACAGGTGGACTGGTCACTCAGCAATTCCTTCTCCTCCATTTCTCCCTCTTTTGGGGATTTTGGGTATACATGCACATAGCCCACATATTTCTCAAGCTCCTGGGTCTGGGATGTTTGGCCAGGTCAGATTCAGCTGCTTTAACCACCAGGCCATGGGGCTGGCCCTATATGGACTTCTGATGTCCAGGCCAGTTATTTTGTTGGAGGTCCCTATTCTGGGCATTTCTCAATGTTTTCTCATGTTTAGATTCAGAATAAAATTTTGGATGCAGGCTGGGAGATACCCTGTATTACTGTTGGATTTCCTCAGGAGATATGTTGTGGCCAGCACTGATGGGAATGCCATGGTTCGCCACCCTCCCCACCACAACCCGCTGCTCCAGACTTTCCCTGCCAGCCAGAATCATGGGCATGTGTGCACCCAGTGTGTAAAGGTCAACCCAGGAACCAAACCTTCATTTTTCATGCGGCTTCCAGTTTTGCAGAGTAGTGCTGCCACAGCACCAGTGCACCTACAGCCCCTGTTGAAATTTAATGATAAAGGATTCTACTTTGCTTTTTTTTTCTTTTTTTTTGGAGAGATTTTCACTGTAGGGCGCGTGCGCTCGCCAGACAGACAGAGAGAGACATAGAGACAGAAAGCGAGAAATCACCCCCCTGGGGGGATGGTCACGCCGCAATCCCTTCTCCTCCATTCTCCTCCCGGGATCTTGGGCACGCATGCACACGCGCCCGGCGTGAGTTTTAAGCCAGCGGGTCCAGGACGTGAACCGCGGTCGACTACGTGGGAGTCCAGCGACATAGCCATTACGCTAACTGCTGGTTCCCAGGGATTCTACTTTGCTTTTAAAACCTCTGTCTCTCTCTCACTCTTTCTTTGAAAGAGAGAAGCCTCTGTATCTCGTTCTCTTTCTATTTTCAGTAGAAATTTTGGTTCTTAAATGCATGAACGTATTTGTGGACATTAATTTTGTATAATGGTGATATCTTCTAATATATTTTACCTTCTATTCTTTCTCCTCCTGCATTAACACATATCTTTTTCCTTTTCTTTAAACATGTAGTCTCAAAAACTATAGCTTTAAAGTAATTAGATGCCAGTAATGTAATACATATTTTACATATACTATATATATATGTATTTCAAAAGCTTAGGACACATTTGAAAGGTTGACTTTGTTTTTCTGGTTTGTGAATAAGAAAACCGAGGCTTTGATATTCAAGCAATTTGTGGCAAACAGCTGCCCAGGTTTGTCTCACTCCATAGTCTCTGGCCTTTTAAATATTCCAAGCTGCTTCTTTGATAATCTCACAATCCTCTTTAGCTTGACATTTCCTTTTAGATTTTGTATTATCTTACATTTCAGTGTTTCACTATGACAGGGAAAATACTACATGGCCTTGATCCTTTGCCCTATTACTTTTTTTTTTTTTTTGTCACAAAAATGGTGACCATCTTTGTTTTAAAGGGGAAAAACAACCATTCATAATGATCTCACCTTGACACAAATGTTTAGAATTAATCATTTGACTGTGAATCTTATATTTTCATTTAGTAGGTCACCTGGAAAGTCATGACGTAGTTTTCCATGTATTCCTATGCAAAAATGCACCCTGACTTTCCCGACGACCCAATAAAATGAGACTGCAGCTTTGTATGTCATCGAAGTGTAATTTGCACCTGTTGTTTAGACAGCTCATCTACTGAAAGTAAGGTGAAAATAAATTTTGTGTGGGTCCTTTGGAAACATGTTTCTATTTGTTTTCGTTATTAACCATTGTGTCATTAGAGGGAGCTGTGGCTAAAAAATCTGTTTTCACTAGTGCCTGACCTTCTCCCCCGGGAAGGCTAAGTGAGGTCTCAAAGAAGCTGGAGGTGTCCAGTGCCTTGCTCACTGCCCTGTTACAGGTACCGACCCCGGTCTGTGAGCTACGGGCATGGGTGTCTGATTGGCCTGCCAGGACCACATATGAATTTGCCACTCAGACATTTTCCATCTCAAGTGTGGAACCTCTTTGCACTTGATGCGAGAACAAAAGTTGGTGCTCCTTTGAAAAGGGGAATGTCAGATACGGTGATTTGTTGGTGATGGGCTGACAGGTCCAATTTACTGCCTTGTCAGCCCCCTGTTTTGTTGAATCAAAATGATAGCAATATAATCAGCATCCACAAACAATTCCTTCCCACTCAGAGTGCAGAGACTCAGTCCTGGGACAGTTGCCGTTTTGATGCATGAGGACAAACGGGGTGCCAAAGAAGAAAAGATAAAACATAAATCCAGGGTGGTATGATGTGTGGCCTATAGAAATAAGTGTGCGCCCTGCTTTTTCCATGTTTGCTGTTGATCCTTCTGAGGAAAAGATGATAATACAGCCTTTTAAATACGTTGCAAAGTAGAGGAGGATGTGATACTGTTGATGATAAAAATCATTTTTATATACCTGTTTTCACTTTGTGAGGCTGTCAAGATGAAATCCAGGCCTTGGCCACATGCTGGGAGTTAATGAGGTTTACAATTGGCAATGCTTAAAGAGTATTAGGGTAATGTATTTAAACATCAGCAGTTCACAGCCTGAAATGCTCATCATCTGTGGAGTATACTCCCCAATCAATAAGTGGAGGTCTTTCAATTTGCTAATGAGGGACGTTTTCCACACTAC